ATGCATCTGGGGGCAAAATTAAAATCTTCTCCCGAGCCATCGTCCAATTTCAGTCGATGCCCGACATCTTTTCGTGGTTGCAGGTTCATCAGCAAGAGTTTGATTTGTCTCGTTTTACATTCTCCGTTACTTTTTTCCACATCAAAAACCAAAGATCACTGAAAAATTCAAACTTCCTATCTTTTTCTGTCTCCAAAGTTAGCCAGCTGTCATGAGAAGTTCGAATTAAATGAAGTATTTATCAATTGTTTAAGTAAAATGAGAAAATACATATTTAAATTTTATCTTGGGGGGCCATATAAGATGTTTAAAAAAGGGCAGATTTGGCTCGCTGGCCTTGAGTTTGACACACGTAATCTAGATGATGTGATTCTTTGAAGAAACAGCATAGCTTAAGGTAAGACAGTTTATTTAGCTGAATAAATTCTGGTCAGTTTTAAAAACAACACATTTATGTTTTTATATTTTTATTTTATTTTATTTACCCAGACTGTACATGCAGTTAAACATAGAGGAGCATACTTGGGTTTAGGATGAGTGGGAAAATATTCCTGTCCTTTTCTTCCAGACTTCCAGAAAATCCAGGTTGAAGCTCAGAGGAGATCTGGCTTTTTTCAGCCGTGGGCCCTAAACTCTGGAACAATCTGCCCATCAACTTTAGACAGGACACTTCAGTCTCTGCTTTTAAAACTCTCCTGAAAACACATGCATTGACATTTAACACAGGGTGATCCAATTTAGATTGTCATTGATTCTGATTGTGTTTATGCTTTTCTGTTATTCCGTGACATTTGACACAAGGTGATCTGATTCAGTATGTCATTGATTCTAATTATGTTTCCTGTTGTGTTTTTAATTCCATATGCTGTAATTCTATCTTGTTACTTTATATTTGACGTTGTGATCTTTTTGTTAAGCACTTTGGTAACGGTTCTAGTTTTAAATGTGCTATATAAATAAAACTGACTTGACTTGACAGACTAACCTTTAATCTTGGAAATCAATTGCACCTAAAAGAAAGCATTGCTTAAAAAAAATACACGTTTTATGATTAAAAAAAAAATATCCATGTATTTGATGAGCTAGTCAGTAACTTGTGAAAAAGTATAAAATACCTTCTGGTTTTAAAATATTTATTATTTAACTACTTGAAGTGGCAGAATTTGAATGTTGCTTGCCACAACTGCAATTTAATCAAAATTGTTGTATTACACTGAATGGAAGCAACCATGAGACCAAAGATGCAGAAAATGTTTGAGCTTTTTTTTTTAATTATTCAAAGTTTAGGTGTTTATTTTAGTCGTTATCTGTTTTTACATGGGTTGTCTTTTTGATCGCTTCATGCTGTTTTACTTCTCCTGCTGCTCTGCATCAATCACTTCTATTGCTCTCACCTGTGTCTCATCAGCACTCATGTCTAACATGGTCCCCGTCTTCATCCTCCCTGTCAAGACCTGGAGTTTTGTTCCTCTGCTTCAGATGTATGAAGGTTTTTATGTTGTTCAAACGTTTGGACTCTACCTCTCTACGTTGAGCTGCAGCTTCTGTCTCTGAGTCATTAGCTGTTTGCTCCTTTCTTCTCTCGACTCTTGTATTTTGCATCTGGGTCTCTTCCAATCACCACCTGTTTAACGGATGTATTCACCTGTACCACTTTGAAAGTAAAGTTAATTTTTATTGCTTTCATGTTTTACGTTTTCGTTTTCTTTCTTGGTCACATATCCTATTACAAAGCGTTTCATTAGTTTTGTTTTACCCCTCTGTATGTATTCCACAAAAACTGAAGACTGATAGCACTTTCTGTTAATGGTACCTGTCCTAATGAAGAGCACATGGATAATTAGGATACTGGTTAAGCCCATTTATAAACCTACATTCTAAGGTTTGCTTTTGTGACAAATTTCTCAAATAATGCAAAGTTGAGTATAAAGTCCGAGTCTCTCTTCAAATGCTGACCCCCCTATCAATGACCATTTATCACAATTGCTCCTCGGCTAAGGAGAGAAGCATTAATGGGATTGCATCAAACCTCATCTACACTTCTAATCCATCAATCCAAAAGCTTTTACAGTGGTCTATACTTTCACACTGAGGAAGTGGTTTTTACACTGGGGCCCATCACTGTGCTCCTCATCACCACTTTAAAACCACATGACAGCACTGTCTAAGTCAAAACACTGTGTTTTCATATTTGGACAGCCTTAACCAGAGACTTTTGTATATTTTACAGCAGTATGAAGCAATCCATCCATTCTCTTTACCCGCTTTCCGGGTCATGGGGGTCACTGGTGCCCATATTACATAGCATACACAGCAGGCACTGTGCGAGAGGCGGGGGCCACCCTGGACAGGTCACAAGTCCATCACAGGGAGTATGCAACAAAATTAATGTAACTGAGAATAATCATTTTGTGTATGTTCTGTTCATGGATGTTTAAATATTATTTGTTGTTATACCCGTTATGCTAAAGGTGTGTGTATCATAATAATAATACTTTAATGGTGTGTTTATAATGTAATTAATTTATAGAGATGACAAGAAAAGTCTTGTGATTGGTTTTGTATTAGTGCTCATCTATAATACAACAATAACCACAACAAAGCACTGCTTTGACCGTAAATATAACTATCATTTTAACAGGCTAAAGTTTGGAAATGTAGTTTTTCCACAGCTTTGTCGATGAACATCCATCCATCCATCCAACCATCTATCCATCCATTATCTTTACCCGCTTTTTCCTTTTCTTAATTGCAGGAGTCACTGGTGTCCATGTCCAGCAGTCACTGTGTGAGAGACAACTTGGACAGGTCTCCAGTCCATCACAGGGACACATAGAGACAAACGAGACAAACGACCATTCACTCTCTCACTCACACCTAGGGACAATTTAGAGTTACCAAAAAGCCTAACATGCATTAGGTATTATTTGTAACTTAGTGTTTTGTACTATTAATGCTTAGCATATTCTTAGTTCAGCGAATTTTGTAGTTTTTGTCTTAGATCTTATTATTGTTTTTCTTTACAATTGATGCTTTTGTTGGATGTAACTGGGACCCTGTGTACACAATTTTGTTCCATTACATGTGCCACATGTGATGGTAATGACAATTAAAAAAAAAAACATAACCTTATCCATGTTTTTTTGGTTTGTGGGAGGAAACCCGAGTACCCGGGGAAAACCATCGCATGCATGGAGAAAGCATGCAGACTCCACCCAGAAAGGACGCCGGACAGGATTTGATCCTGCAATTTTCTCACTGAGTGGCAGCCGCTCTGCCAACTGCACCACCGTGCTGCCTCGATGAACATTTGTTGAAAAAAATTGTTCATTCCTCAAAACATCTACTCGTGGAAACAGTATTTAGCTCATAGAAACACAGACAGACAGACAGACAGACAGACAGACAGACAGACAGACAGACAGATAGACAGACAGACAGATAGATTTTACCTTTTGTCTTTTGCTTGTTTGTTTTGTTGTGCAGCTCTTTGGTTGACCTTGTTGCAGTTTTTAAGTGCTGTATATATAAAGTGGTATGTATGGTAGCACAATTACTTAGTGGTTACCACCATTGCCTCGTTGTGAGCAGGTCCTGGGTTTAAGCCCAGGGGCCTGGAGTCTTTCTGTGTGGAGGTTTGATCTCCTCATATTTGCATGGATTTTCTCCAGGTATTCCAATTTCCTCCCACGGCCAAAAACTAAAATGCATGCCACAAGGCCCAGAGATCCCTTGGGGAAAAATATATAATGATGGTTAAATAAATTTACAGGTAATCTCAATTAAAACAAGATATCTTTGATCATTTGAAGTAACTCAACTAAGATCTAATGTATTCTGGTGGCTTTAAAACACAATTGTGCACATTTATATTTCATTGCTGTTGTTTCTTTGTTTGACCATTTACATAAATCTCATGAACTCGGTTTTGTTTGTGTACGGAAGCCCATTTCTGTCATGAAAGAAAAAATAAAAGCCCAACAGGAAGTCATAATTTTGACTTTTAATGTCATATTTTCGACTTGTAAAGTCATAATTATGAGAATAAAAGTCATAATTTTGAGTTTTAAAGTCATTATTATGAAAATAAGTCATAATTGCGAATTTTAAAGTCATAATTATGAGAATAAAAGTCATAACTTTGACTTTTAAAATTATAATTTAAAGTTTTAAAGTCATAAATACAAGCTTAAAAGTCATACATTTGAGTTTTAAAGTCATAATTATAGGAATAAAAGTCATAATTTCAAGTTTTAAAGTCATAATTTTGACTTTTCTTATTTAATTTTGAAAATTTGTCCCTTGCCGGACACTGACTCTACAGGGATGCAACTTTTCAACCTTTATTTAGACAGGTAAATCCCATTGAGCCTCAAGGACTCAAGACACTGGTAGTTTTCCTGCATAGCACATTGACTCATTCATTAAAACATCAGTCCTTTTAAATAAAGGTATGTAATGTATACATCTTTTCATCACCACTTTCTATAGCATTTAGTATCGAAGCCCATTTCCACTATGAAATAAAATCCCATCAGGAAGTCATAAATGAGTTTTAAAGTCATAATTATGAGAATAAAAGTCATAATTACAACTTTTAAAGTCTCTCTGTCCTCCGGTGAAGCCAGACGTGTCTCTGTCTTCCTTAAAAGGCAGAAACAGCAATTCACGAGTTCTGCTTGACCCAAACTGGGGCCTTGACGCCGGACTTATCTCAACTCCTCCTGCCATGTTTTGAAAATAAAAATGCTTTGCCAGGTAGAAAAATCTAAAAAAGTTAAATCTGGTCCTTTGGACATTTAAAAAAACAAAACAAAGCAAATCAACCAAAAAAAAATGTTGATTTGCTTTGTTTTGTTTTTTTGAATGTCCAGAGGACCAGATTTAACTTTTTTAGGTTTCACTTTGAGCGCCCTTGTTGTTCAGTGTTTGGCCTCTAGAGGGCGCCATGTTCTCATAAACCTCCCACAGACAGCGTCTGCCTGGCTTCCTGTAGAGGAGTCTTCTTCATGGGCGTGTCCACTTTTGTTGTTAGCCACTTTTAAACAAAACACTTTAAAACGACCCAGAGTGACCCAATCCCTTTCTGTTTACATCTTTTTCGTCCAGACTGTCCGTCCCCTGCAACGATGCCTGCAGTCAGTAACTTCACCGTCTCTTATAACGCGCTGAACGAGGCGGGGACGTTTTCCGAGGGAGACGTTATAACGGGAACTGTTAACCTGCAGCTGTCGAAGGAGACCAAAGTTCAGAAGCTGTTCGTCAAAGCCAAAGGAGACGCCAACACTCACTGGACGAAGAAAAGGGGCGACCGCACACACACATATTCTGCACACACAAGGTACTTCAAGCTGAAGCAGTTTTTAACCCCCGAGGGGTCTGAAGGTAGGAAGCAATGCACACCTCAATTATTAAAACAAATAAATCTGTTTACTGCATCTGATCTACACACACACACCTAAAAAATAGTATATATTTCAGTATAAATGAATATAAATTGTAACCAAGATTTAATCACCAGGTTGGCAAGTTTCAGTCAAATGGAGAGGATGCTATTTGAAGACTTAAACAGCAATTTATTCATTATTCTATATGCAATTGTAAATGACATGAGTAAAGATGATTTTTGCAGATGCTTGATTGCATTTATCGTGGCCTTGTAGTTACAAATCACACGAATGATTAAACAAATCTCTCGTTTGCCTTTTCAGAAAATGTTTTGCCTGCAGGGATCCACGTCTACAAGTTCAGCTTTACAATACCGACAGAGTGAGAACTCCACAACAGACACGCTCCGTTTGCACGTTCACATCGTTTATTTGAGCAAGCATGACCAAATCGCTTCCACAGTAATTAACATGTTGTATAACGGTCATTTCATTGGCTCACAGAAGCATGCCGTCATCTTTCAAAGGAGCTCATGGAAAGATTGTTTATAAGCTGGAGGCCAAGCTGTCCAGAAGCTGGAGGATGAATTCCAACGCAGAAGTGGAGATCAATTTCGTCTCAAAATCTTTTCCAAATATTTACTCCCTCATGGTGCGTAGTGTATCCAGTGTATCATGCTTTACCTGCTTCATGCTGTCCTACTTAGTAATGAACTTTCTGGCGCTCATCCTAATTGTTGTTCTGATCTGCCAGTCTACCAATTTTTAGATATCAAGCAGGGCTTACTGGTAATTTGAGCCGGATCCTGCCGGAACTCTCTTATTTCGAGATGATGCGTTCCAGTAACTGTTTTCTTGGATCCAGTAACTCTCAGGCTTACTAATAATAAAGTTATGAACAAATTTGACTGCCTTGAACAAATAAAACGTATACTGGATATGTAAGCTGAAAATAATTACATAAACACTCATTTTAAATATAACAGTCACTTCCGAGCTTCCTAATATACAAGAGCTGCGCCTTCAAGTAAGCATGTCCGCTTCTACCCTTAAAAAAAAAATCTCTGCCCTTAAAAGTTCAGTCATCAATTCAGTTGAAAACACAAAAGTATAAACAGCACAACTAATTTGCTAAATTTGTTTTACAGTTTTAAGTAGGTCATTATTAAAATGTTGATTATTTATTAAAAATACAAGATAATTGTTTGATGGGTAATCACGTGACATATCAAATCAACGGCGCCGATTTGTCAAAAATAGCAGCAATCCCCAAAAATTCTACACAAAAAAAACATGTATTATTAGATTATTTTTTTAGATAGAGGCTTGTTTGTTTTAGTTTTACATTTTTGATAATGTTTTGGGTACAGGTACTTTTGTCAAACAAATCAGCAGTCAGTGCCGTAGTCTGGTTTTAGCCCCGTTTGCGTTGGGAAGAATATCTGTGGTGACCTCCGCAGGAGGGAGCAGCTGAAAGAAGGACGTTCTTGTAAAACAAAACTATCAACTTTTAGCTATTGTTTATTTATCGTTTTGCTCATCTGTGTATCTGGTTTTGTTGCCTCATGCTCTCTTACTCAGCAGGTTTCTTTATCTGCTCTTGAGAAGTGAGCAGGATCAATATAGTGTGTTAGAAGCCGAGGTGAAATCTGACAAAGTGGTTGAGCAATAATTAAATATCAACCTTAACTGAAAGGTTAATAAGATTACAAAATCAACAGGCGCTTTTAAGGTTTTATTTTAGGCCATAAAATAGTCGATAACAGAAAATGTTTCCATGATGCAAGCAGAGTTGCCATTCTTATCACAATGCTTATATGTACTTGCATCTTTTCCTCTAAAACAATAGGCGTCACTGGCAGGAATAGAACTGGAATAAGTTGTACAGAAAGTTTATTATTCATACAACTCACTTCTGTGTTTTAATTTACAAAAAGTAATACTAAAACACCAAAGTAGCTATTTTTTTCATAACCTCTTTCTATGGTAATATGGTAATATTCTCTCTATGGTTCCTCTTTAAGCCTATTTCACACTGCAACTTTGTTTTAAAGTTATTTTGCATTTTTACATATATAAAATTAGTTATAGAGAATATAAAGCAGACATTGCCTTGTACTATTGATAGCGTTTGATCAAATATAATTATTTTCATTTTATAATTTCTTGCAGTCACCCCAAGTTGATTCAACAGATAAAGAGATGGGGCTCTTCTCCAAAGGACAAGTGCACATGGATGTGACTGTGAACAGGGGAGTTTTTGCCTCAGGTAAAGTTCTTTAAATATAAAGAATAACTTTTAAAGACTAATTCTAAAAGTTTTTTTGTTTGTTTGTTTGGGAAAACAATAGTGGGCTATAAGTGGGTTTGTGTTAAAATGTAGTTCAACTGTGGTTTCCTGGAAACCTTTTCTTGTCAGGTGGCAAGTTTAGGACTTGATGTGTGTAAGGTGATCGCTCATCTAAGAATAGACATTTATAATGTTGGCAAAGTTAGTTTTTCTGCATTGTCTGTGTTTTTTTTGTTTTTTTCTCTCCATAAATGTAATGCAAAATATAAACTGTCAATACTTCATAACACTCTGGACCTTAGTCTTGTGTAGTGTTTTAAGTTGTGCTCGTCTTCACAGGTGAAACGGTTGAGATTGTTGCCAACATCAACAATTCTTCGTCCCGTGACATGACTCCCAAGTTTAGTTTAATACAGTTTGTTGAGTTTCGCGCACAAGGAGATACCAGACATCAGAGCTTCGATGTCGAAAAAGTGGTTGGCCACCCAATTAAACCCCAAACGCAGCAGGAAGTAAAATGTGCAATAAAGATCCCCAGTGATCAAATGTCATCCATCCCAAATTGTGCAATCATCACGGTGGAATATAAGTTAAAGGTGTGTAACATTATCAACCATAAATAAAATATGTATATATTTTGACAGTATTTTATGGTAATATGTCTAAAACAAAGTGAATCATTATCTACTCATGACACAAGTGTGTTTTCCTCTAGGTGTATCTGGACATCAGCTTTGCCTTTGATCCAGAGGTCCTCTTACCAGTGCTCATAGTTCCTCCTAAATGTGTTCCTGGTTCTCAGGGTAATCTTGTAGGTCCTCATCCTGTTGGGGCTTTTGGGGGCCAGTGCAACAGTGACTTCCCTCCCCCTGCAGTACCTGGAGGTCCTTATCCTGCATATCAGCCGCCAGGCAGTTATGGGTATCCAGGGGTCCAAAGTCCTTCTGCACAACCAGTGAACCCACAGATGCTGGCTGGTTCACCAGGTGTTTACCCCCCTCAGCCACCACTCATGTATGGGGGCTATAGTAACCCAATGCCACATGTGCCCTCTCCGTTCGGATCACCCTCTTATGTGCCTTACCCTCCACCACCGCCCTCGGCGTTTAACCTACCTCCATCAGCACCACAGAGCCAGCCATCTACTTCCTCCCTGTCTCCATCAGCTCCAGCTAGTAACCTCATGCCTTCTGCCCCAGTGATGAATTCAGATTTCCTGTCTCAGCCAAATGATGCTCCTCCATCACATTCTTTGGATTTCCTATCTTCTAAACCAGAACAATCTGATGCTAAATAACCCCATAACACCATGATTGTCATGTAAAAGCATTGAATGCAAAATGCGTGTACACAACTATAACCTAAAATGTTACTTGGCCACTGTATTAGCTTGGTTGGCTTCATGTAGCTGCTAACATTAACTAAACATCAGTCATTGGGATGCACTCAACAGTACTACCTTTTTAATATTTAAAGTGTCCTTTTTTTGCATGGATATAAACAGTTACCTCTAATATTTAATGGTGCTTAAATATGCTAAAACTACTTTAGTGAATATTAACCACTTTCTATTAACTTTGTACCACTTTGCAAAAACCTGTATTGTTATATTTACAGTATTGTATACATCTTCCTGTGCATGCGTGGGTTTTCTCCATTTTTCTCCCGCGGACCAGAAGCAGGCATGTTAGTTTTATTATTAATTGTCATTGGGTGTGAATGAGAGTCTGACCAGTTGTCTTATTTTGCATTTGTGGCCCTGTGGTTGACTTGCAACCCATGCAGGGTGTACCCAACATCTCGCACTGCGAGTTCTGGAGATAAACACCAGCTCCCCCCACAATCTGGAAAGGAGAAAAAAAAAAAATATATATATATATATATATATATATATATACACACACACACATATA